CCTGGGCTGCCAGGCGGGACTGGCAGCGACTCCTCCTCTACCCAGCACGGTGGAGCTGCCTGGCAGCGACTCTCTGCGTTCATCTCCACCACTTCTACAACCGTGGCAGCTACAGTTGGGAGAAAGTGGGCCTTGTCTGGGTCCAGCGCTCCTCTCAGGAAGCCCTGTGGCCACTGCTGTTCTAGGAAGGGTGGCAGAGACCTGGGTCCGGGGATGGAGCCTGGGCTTCCAGTGGCCTGGTACCCCCTGCCTGCCCGGTCAGGCTGTGGGGGCCCAGAGGAGAAGAGGACTAATGCTTCCAGCAGGAGGTGATGCTCAGGCTGTGTTTAGACCAGTGGTGAGGTTTATTTTCCATTTTTATTTTATGGTTAATATTTATTTTTATTAATGTACTTAGTTAGTGGCACAGGTCTCACTTACTGCATGTGGGATCTAGTTCCCTGACCAGGGATCGAACCTGGGGCCCCTGCATTGGGAGAGCTGAGGCTTAGCCACTGGGAGGTCTCTGGATGAAAACTGAAGGGAGGATGGGAGCCCAGCTGGAAGAAGCCGCAGAAGCAAAGGCCTGGAGGGAGGCAGGTACAAGGTGTGGGCGGAGAGGCTGCCCTGGTTTCAGGAGCTAGAGGAGGCTCAGCCTCGGCGTGATCGGCACGGCCAGGAGTTGGCGCCAGGTGAGCTTCTAGGAAATGCGGGGTCCTGAGAAACTTCCAGAAGGCCTTAATAAGATGTTGTCAAACAGGATTTGTTTGGAGCTAGTGTCAGCCATGCCCAGATGCACAAAAGAGGTTGGAGAAAGAGGAGTACCGAGGCAGGGTGATGTCACCCCCACCGCCCCACCCCCCGCCCGACCCCGACGCAGAGCTTTGCGTGCCTGGAGTCCAGGCGACGCACTGGAGCAGCTCCACTTGTGATCACTGGCAAGGACACGGGACACCTCCTCCAACTGGCCCCAGAGAGGACAGGGTCTCTGTTGGGAGCCCCGGCAAGGACTTATGGTTCAGAGGGAAAATTTTAAAAATCAAGATGCCCTTGAAGTCCATCTGGGGCATGACCACTGGGATTGTGGGATAGGAAAGAGTTTTGTTTTTATTTAAAAAGCTGTTACTGCATTAGGCGAGCATCTTAAAATCCATGACATGTTAGACGGCGTTGTTGCTGTTGTGTTCGTCACTCAGTTGTGTTCCCACTCTCTGTGACCCTGTGGACTGTGGCCCACCAAGCTCCTCCGTCTATGGAATTATCCAAGCAAAAATACTCGAGTGGGTTGCCATTTCCTTCTCTAGGAGTTCTTCTCTATCCAAGGATCAAACCCTGGTCTCCTGCATTGCAGGCAGATTCTTTACCATCTGAGCCGCCAGGGAAGCCCATTATATGATATATATATATGATATGATATGATATGATATGATATATGATATATATATGATATATATGATATACATGATGTATATGATATAAGTTGATGTGTTTATCCTGATATTTGTTTTCATTTAAAATTATATTGTGATAAGGATGGGGAGAGAGGAAGGAGAAAGGAAAGACATAATAGTGTCATCACTGGGACCTTCCTGGTAGTCCAGGGGCTAAGACTCCAAACTCCCAACTGGGGGCCTGGGTTTGATCCCTGGTCAGGGAACGAGATCCCACATGCCGCAAGTAAGAGTCTGAATGAGTGAAAGTCGCTCAGTCATGTCTGACTCTTTTCGACCCCAAGGACTATACAGTCCACTGAATTCTCCAGGCCAGAATCCTGGAGTGGGTAGCCTTTCCCTTCTCCAGGGGATCTTCCCAACACAGGGATCGAACACAGGTCTCCTGCATTGCAAGCGGATTCTTTACCAGCTGAGCTATCAGGGAGGAGTTTGAATGCTGCAGCTAACAAACCCTGCATGCGACAACTTAGACCTGGTGAGGCCAAATAACTAACTAAATAAAAAAGTTTAAATGTCATCATTATTCATAGCTGGGAGTCAATAGGTCTCCTTAGAGAAATAAAGGATTAAGTGTGTTATATAAACTTACAGAGGTAATCACAAGTACACAGCTACAAAATTTCCAAAGTATCAGAAGAAACAGTTGCACCTAAATTAAGCAAATATTTTATAAACTACAAAAATAGAAAACATAAAATAAGATGATTTCATTGAATGTCATAAGATTTGTCACATGAATATATATAAACTATATATATAAATATATAAATATAAATATATATAAACAATATATATAAACACATCAATATATATAAACTCAGTTCAGTTCAGTAAAGGGACATGGCTGTCAGATCGTTCACATTCAACTCTAAGCTGGAGGTAAAAGTGACTCCCAAACCAGAAGACTCAGAAAGAATGCAAATAAAAGAAAGGTGCAAGGGATAACAAGCAAATGCAAACAAACAGAAAGTAGGGGTCAAGTTCAAGGCAAAACGTTAAATGGGTCAAGAGTTGCATCTTATAATAAGAAATAGTGCGAGTCCCAGGGAAGATACCACATACCTAATAGGCACAAAACAGCATTCACGAATAATCCTGCATCAAGCAACACAGAGTCCACATTCATACAATAAAAAAAATACAAGGAGAAAGAATAAAACACACATCAGTAGTAGGAAATTTTAATTCATCTCACACAGATACATGTACAAAAAATTAAGACTAAAGACAATAGTATAATTATTAAGATAGATTTAATTTATATAAAACTCTACTTTAAAACCAGGCTGCTGCTTTGCAGATGGACATCTGAACATTCACAAAGATTGACCACATATTAGACCACATTTTTGAAAAAACCAATACATTCCGAAAAGTAAATATAGAACAGACAACATTCTCCAATCACAATGTAAATCGAATTAGAAATTATAACCAAACTACAAAAAAAAAGGTGTTACTACCTGTAAATTTTTAAAACCCTCAAATTGTTCTTACAAAAGAAAATCAGGTCAAAAATTTGGAATATCTAGAAAATGATTATAATTGAAACACTGCATATGAGAACCTAAGAACTTACAGCTAAATGAGTACTCAGAGGGAAATTCATAGCTTTAAGTACTTCTTTTTTTATTTTTAACTTATTTTTAATGGAAAAATGATTGCTTTACAATATTGTGTTGGTTTCTGCCATATAGCAACATGAATCATCCACAGGTATCAGTTCAGTTCAGTTCAGTCGCTCAGTCGTATCCGACTCTCTGCGACCCTGTGAATCGCAGCACGCCAGGCCTCCCTGTACATCACCAACTCCAGCCATAGCTATACATAGGTTTAAATATTTCTATTAATAAGGATGAATAGAAATTAAAGAACTAAGTATCTAACTCAGGCTAGAGGTTAAAAAACACCACTACCAACAAAATCCTAATAGAAATACAAGGATAGAAAAAAAGATAAAAGTATAAAATGATTTTGAAGGAAAAAAAACACAGTAGGACTATTACAAGTAACACAAATCCAGTAGAAATAATTTTTTTTAATTGAAAATAGTAGGAATTCCCTGGCAGTCCAGGGGTTAGAACTAGAGGCTCTCACTGCAGAGGTCCCGAGGTTTAAGTCCTGATCAGGAGTGAAAACAGCTTAAATCAGTAGTTGATCTAGTCAAGAAAAGATAGGAATAAAATACAAAAACACTGTAGAAAGTGATTAAGTGGAGATAAGTTGTTCAGTGCACGCCTTTTGGTGCCTTTGCATGCGTGCTAAGTCCATCTCAGTCTGTCTGACTCCCCACGGACTGTAGGGCCAGGCTCCTCGCCCATGGGGGTTCTCCAGGCAAGAGCACTGGCGTGGGTTGCCATGCCCTCCTCCAGGGGACCTTCCCGACCCAGGGATGGAACCTGCGTCTCTGATGTCTTACGTCTCCTGCACTGGCAGGTGGTTCCTTACACTAGGGCCACCTTGGCGACGTCGGAGCGGCCCTTTTGCCTGGAGAGGGGCCACAGGGAGGCAGCTCAGTAACAACCCGCTTTTGTCTGCGCTTCGGCAAAGGCGTTGCTCCCACTGGGGTGAGTGGCCTCTGCGGCAGAAGCAGCCAAGCTTCGCCCTGCGCTTTCCTTCGTTTTGATACTCAAACGTCACCTGCCGTTTTCACGGGGTGAATACTGAGTACAGAGAATCCGCCCTTGGAGGCTTTCTAAGGAACGTTTTCCTTACCCTGGGGCTCCCTGACAGGCCGAGGCCTCCGTAACCAGTCACTGGTCCAGAGGGGGGTTCAGAGGGGTCAGAGGACGCGGCCGGTTTCCCAGCCCTCACAAGGCACCACTCCCCTGGAAGAGGCTTCCCTGTCGGCATCTCCTCCCGGTCAGTTGCCAGTGGGCCAACTTCAGCCCTTTACTTCGCCTTCATGGACCCGCCAAAGAGCCTGGGGCCCTGGCTGGGGAAGGGACCGCTGCCCTCTGTAAATGAAAGTGTAACAGTCGCTCAGTCGTGTCCGACTCTTTGAGACTGTTCAGTCCATGGGATTCTCCAGGCCAGTATACCGGAGTGAGCAGACTTTCCGTTTTCCAGGGGATCTTACCAACCCAGGGATCGGGCCCAGGTCTCCCACATTGCAGGTGGATTCTTTACCGGCTGAGCCAGAAGAAACCTCCCCAAATAAGGATGCTTCCAGAAGAGGAAAGCGCAGAGTCCTGGGGAGCCCCAGGGCGTCTAGCCATGGGGCTTTAGGGGAGGCTTCCTAGAGGAGGCGGCGAGCACGACGCTGGGGCTCAGAAGTCCCGGACCTCACAAAGGGGCGGGGTAAGTGTTAGTGTGGGGGACAGAGGACTTGCAACTCCAAAGGCCTCCATGGACCCCTACACTCCCACCCGCAGGGCCTTGGAACTCGGGCCCAGCAGAGCAGGGCTGCACAAGGACACCCTGACAGACCACACGAGAAACGACCACTGTCCGTGGACGCCGGACGGCCTCGGCCAACACACAAGTCAGAGTAAGTTCACAGACATGGGTCACCTGGCCAAGTGGACGTTCGGAGAATGGCTGACGATCAACCTACGCCCGGCCGCACTAGCCACCCTCGACGGCCCGAGCCGCCCCTTTGCCGCCCCCTGCCGGCCGATCGGTCCGCGCCTCTCCACGCGGCCGAGCTCCCAGACCGCCCGGGCCCGAGGGCACGGCCAGCGCGGGGATTGGCCGCGCCAGGTCACGTGTTTCCGCCCCGAGCCAACCAGCGGAAGAGGCGGGGCCTCGTGCTGCACGTCTCCGGCCGGGCGGGGTGAGGCGGCGGTTAGCTCCGCCCCTCCCTGCGCCCCTAGATTTCAGACCCCGGCACCGTGGAGCTGCAGCGCCCTCCTTTTCTTCCTCTCTTAGCGGTGGAGCAAGCTTTCCAGACTCGTTAGTGGCTTCTTTGGGGGATAAAGACACAAATCCTCGCTGGGCCCCGAAGCCCTGGGGACCCGAGCCCTGCGGCCTTCTCTTCCCCGCCCGCCCCTCCGCCCCAGCCATCCTGGTCTTCTGCCGCTGCCCGCCCTTGCCCAGGGCTTTGGCCCAGCCTGCGCCTCGGGCCTAGCCAGTCCTCCCCGCCACTCCCCCTCCGCCTTCTCCAGCCCCCGTCTCTCCTCTGCTGCAGCTGCCCTCCCTACCCCATCCTCCCCAGCTCCGCGCACCCGGGCCAACTCCCAGATCAACGCCCGGGTTCTTTGGCGCTCGCCACCGCCTCCGGGGTCCACAGCCCCGCCCCCCGTCATGTGGTCAAGCACAGGCCTTACTTCCCCGAACTCGGATGGCTCCGCTCTGACCCCACCACTATCCCGAGGAACCCCAGATGAGGAGCCTTGAGTTCAAACCCAGCCCTTTAACGGACGCATCTGTGGCCGCCCTGGGAGATCAGCCCATCGGAGTGCTTGCAAAACAGCGCAGCCTGCTTTGGGAGAACGCTGCTGATTTGCCGGCATGAGCTGGGGCTGCCTGGTGGACATTGAACCTCCGCTGCCCTGCCTGCAAGGTCAGACACGAGAAAAGAGGTTCATTAAGGACTTATTAACATTCACTGTTAGGCTCAACCTTCAGCAACATCTGATAGTGAAAAGAACCTGTCTTCAGCATGAGTCGGGTCGCCCTGACCACATGGCCTTCTGCCCATCCCCAGCAGCAGGCCCAGGGGGGCCGTCGGGCTCCACCATCTCAAGTCTGAACTCTGGCTCAGCTCTGCATCCTGTGTGACCTTGGGGAAGTGATTTCACTTCTTTGATCGTCTGTTTTGTTTCTCCTTTTACTTTTAAGTTTTATTTTCAATAAAGTTAGTAACAGATACACATTCTTTAAGGACAAACAGAACTACAAGGGTTATAATGAAAAAATGGCAGTTTCCTGATCCCACCCCCACCCCAGGTCCTCCCCTTAGAGGCAGACAGATGGGCTAGGTGTTTCTTCTGACTCTCACTTCTTTATGTGTGATGGGCTTGTACTGACAGTTATTGATGTTTCACTTTTAGTTAGAATCCAATGACTCCCTGCTGCTGAAAGATGAGGACCTGGCCCTGTTAGACCCTGACAGCCCCACACTTGATCCCCTGCCCTGTCCTCCCAAGGCAACTGCATCCCTCTAGATCCCTCTCACCTGTAACACGTGCTGTCTTCTCAGCCCTGGTGTGAGGATAATATGACCTCTTGGATCCTAGAAACACTTCACACAGTGCTTGGCCCATAGCAGGTGCTCAATAACTACAGTCCTTCATTGATAAATATCACTTAATGGTTCAGGTATATTTTAAAATTTTTATTATGAGCAGTTTCAAACATCCACGAAAGTAGAGAGAACTCAACAGTCTGATGAATCAGCTACTGATACATCAACCCACAAGCCTAAGGGCACCTACTTTGCGTTTTTCCTCCCATTTCTTTCTAACATAATTGAAAATGGATTTGTATACCCCTAACCTTTTAATTTTTTAAAATTTTATTTATTTACTTATGGTTGTGCTGGGTCTTCACTGCTGCACACAGGCTTTCTCTTTGGAGGAAATCATAAGACTCAGTTATGAGATAAAAAGGCTTCAGTAAGTGGTGAGCTATACCATGTCCATAGATTGGAAAACAACTTTATAAAAAGGTCTACTCTTCCCTTGTGATATAAGTTTAGTGCCATCCCAGTTAAAACCTCAATGGACTCTATCACAAAACCCTGCACTGGGCTTACTCCTGGGAGAAGGGAGGGTTGTGGTCAGGACAGGTCACAGCTTCTGGGGTTCAGCAGTGTTTGAGTGGGGAGGGGCTGTGTGATCGTTTTCAGGTGAAACTGGTCCATTGCCATTGGGCTTGTAAATTGATGCATCTCTTTGGGGGTAAAATTTCATGTATCAAGATCTATGAAAATGCTCTAATACTTTGACCCTGTAATTGCTCTCCTGAGAATAATCCAAAAGAAAAAAATGTAATTTATTCCTTACAAATGTTATTTTTATTAATACTGAAAACTGGGAGGAAAAAGCCCTTCAATATCCAACCATGTGGTTGGAATTCTGGTTCTGCCACTTACTAGCTACTTGACATCAGGCAAACCCCTCTTCTCTGGGTTTCCGTTTCCTCCTGCATGCAATGGAGGGAATGGTGCCCAGCCCTTGGGATGCCTACAGGACACCTGGCACCCAGCCAGCAGCCCCCTGAAGCCTTTTTAATGTAAGCAAGTTCTGTGCTCCTGGGGAATGGCTCTCCCGAGGTTGATGTCACCAGCTGGGCTGGGCAACCAGCCCAGGTGCCCTGGGGACAACGTCCCCAAAGCCCCTCCACCCCCATTTTGCTCTGCTCAGAGCTTCCCTCCCCGCTTCAGCCCCCCACCTGGCTTCCTGCACCCTAGCTCTGTTCTACCATCCACTTCCGATTCCCAAGCACTCACCTACGTGCCCCAGCCAGATCCCGCTGCCACAGCTTGCCCGAACAGAAGGTGGCACCTGGCCACAGCTCAGCACCTGCTCACACACCTGCTGGCCCTGGGCTGGCCCTGGCTTCAGCGCAGCTGCCTGCCCGCCCACTGTCACTCACGTCTGTTTGGATCAACTACCATTTCCGGCCTTTCCTGTGCTCTGGCCGGCTTGGTGAGAGAGAGGTGACCCCTGACCTCTGGGCTCGTGAATTCCTGGGTAAGTCAGTGACCAGCCTCTGGGCTGGTATCTGTCTTCCACGAGGATGGCCTCCATGAACAGCTGAGCCCACCCACCGCAGAGGCCCCTTGTCTAAGAGCCCGGCTGGGCCTGTTGAGGAGTGCTCCTTGGTCTGCAGTCTCCATGTCCTGCATGCTCAGCCCATGGTTGCTATTGCAAAGTGACAGAAGACCATGTAGGAACTAGCAAAATGGGTCACACTGGGACTTTTTTTTTTTATATATATTTTTCCTAGATATTACAGAATAAGTCCATTTCAACTCAGAGGGAACTTACCCAAGGTCACATGGCGTTACCAGCAGAGATAAATAGAATCCTGATATCTGATTGTGGGCTAGGGCTCACCCCCTCTTCCCCCTGGCTCCAAGCTAAAGTGCTTTACATAAGGAACTTCACTTCATTCTTACAACTGCCCTGAAAGCCAGGACTGTTTCCCCGCTGGGGCTCAGGTTCTGTCAGTTGTCCAAGGTCACACAGCTCCTTAGTAAGGAGTGATGAAGCAAGGACTGCTCTGTTCTTACTATTCGGTCTCTAGCTTGGGTTGCATTGAGGACTCAGACACGGAAGCACAGCATTTTTTGAGCCGGAGGGGGCAGACCCTGGAGAGGTCCAGCCTGTCTGTGTTCAAAACCCAGCAGGATGCAGAGGCGAGCCGGAATCTGTTGGGAGGCACAGACAAAGTTCTCCGTGCCCCATGGGGACAACAGTGGACACCCAGAATGGTCAACCCTCAAAGCAGCAGCCCATGAGAGACATCTGTTGAGAACATCCCACAGAAGATGAAACAAAGTCCAGGCAGAGAATCTGGATACAGAAGAATGGACAAGGGAGAACCGCACCTCCAACGGCACACTCAGCACCTCCTCCCTAGTCCCCCCCGCCCCCCGTCTTGTGGAAAGGCACCCCAAACACCCAATGGCTAGAACCAAAAATCTGGTACGCCTCACTTTCCTTCATCTTCCATATCCAATCTGTCAGCAAGTCCTGTGAGGCCTGTGTCTAAAATACACTGATTTGACTCTTGGTGCTCACTCAGTCCTGCCCAACTCTTTGCAACCCCATGGACTGTAGCCCACCAGGCTCCTCTGTCCGTGGGGTTTCCCAGGCACGATTACTGGAGTGGGTTGCCATTTGCTCCTCAGGGGTTCTTCCTGACTCGGGGATGGAACCTGTGTCTCCTACATCCTTCTATACTGGCAGGTGGATTCCTTAGTACTGAGCCACCTGGGAAATCCCAAATTTGACTACTCTTCACCATTTCCACTTCCACAGTGGGGCAGCTCATCTTCCCCTCTGTGGACCACTGCAGTAGCTGCCCCTCCATTCCCTGCTTCTGAAACCAGTTACCTTAGATTGGGACTTGAACCAAGGTGCTGGGACTCAAACCCAGCCAAAACCCACAGTCTTCCTACTGAGATCACGGTCCTGGTTTCAGGAGCTAATGAATCTCAGGTTCTTGATGTCTCATCCCAGAAAGAATTCACAAGGAGACAAAAGTGATAGGTAAGATATGGATGTATTCCGAGAGAACACACTCCATAGATAGAGTGTGGGCCATTGCAGAGGGCTAGTCCAGTGCGAAATGTGGCGTGGTTCGTTTTTATGGGCGGGTAATTTCATAGGGTAATGAGTGGGAAGATTTTTCTAACTATTTTGGGGAAGGGCTGGAAATTTCCAGAAATTGGGCCACCACCCGCTTTTTGGTCTTTGATGGTACCTTGGAACTGTCATGGCACCTCTGGGTGTGTCAGTTAGCTTGCTGATTGTAGATCAAGGCTGAGTCGAAATTGACTTGTCTGCCATCCTGGAGCCACTTGATTGTAAGTGGTTTATGATGTGTTCTTGGGCTATGTCATTCTTTCAAAAATTGTGCCCGCCCTCTTCCCCTACTTCACTTCCATTTGAACCCCTCAACAATCTAGTCTCTACAGAGCAGTGGGAGTAATTTTTTGAGATGATTATGTGAGATAATCATCTATATGCAGAGTACATCATGGGAAATGCCAGGCTAGATGAAGCACAAGCTGGAATCAAGATTGCCAGGAGAAATATCAGTAACCTCAGATATGCAGATGACACCACCCTTATGGCAGAAAGCTGGATTTAGAAAAGGCAGAGGAACTAGAGATCAAACTGCCAACATCCGTCAATCATAGAAAAAGCAAGAGAATTCCAGGAAAACATCTACTTCTGCTTTACTGACTATGCCAAAGCCTGTGACTGTGTGGATCACAACAAACTGTGGAAAATTCTTCAAGAGATGGGAATACCAGGCAATCTTTCCTGCCTTCTGAGAATCCTCTGTGCAGGTCAAGAAGCAACAGTTAGAACCGGACATGGAACAAC